GACGTTGGGAGGTCCGGAATTATTCGCACCGGGACGGGCCGCAGGGAACTCAGGAGTCAGGAGAGTCAGGAGGCAGCGTCAGGAGGAGGCGGAATGGACGGAAGGGCGGGGGGGGGGAGGAAACGAAGTCCGGCCGGTCCAAAGTCAAGACGAATGGCAGAGCTTGGGATCCCTTTGGAAAGCCGAGGATGTTAGCCGATGGGATGATGACCGATTGCAGCGCACCACCACACGCAAGACAACGAGCAACGAGAGACGGACTGGAACCGGGAACTTGGAAGGTCCCCGGCGCGGTGGGATATGACCATGGAGGGACGGATGGGGAGTATGGAGATGGTGCTCCTCCGGATCCTAGAGGCTGAACAGAGGACTCCAGTACTCCAGAGTGGGCCACGGCAAGCTCGCAGTTGCGAAGTACATTTGCGGGTTCCGGGACATCTCCGCTCTCAGGCCGACCAGGCGGACAGCTTAACAGACAAAATGGACGACCACCTTCTTGAACTGGCCGGCCGTCGTCACCGGAGAGGGGAGCCTCAGCTGCGGCCCAAAGGAGCGCTAGAGTTTGACATGCAGCAAGGCAGGGGACGGGGACTTGTGCTAGGTAGGTATGTATCATGCCTATGGTGTAGTGTATGGCATGGAAGTGTACGTAGGTAGGGGAATTGCTTTTCAAGACATGGTATGTACTAACAGGAGTCTTGAAATGATAACAAAGTACCTCTGTACCGACTATCACTTGTCTGAATGTGCGTATATAAAAGCTAAAAGGCCTGGCGGGTTCCTGGCGAGACGGCGCGACTAGGTTCGACTAAGATGCTCGACAGGGTCAGCTTGCTTCAGATGAGGCGACTGATGTCGGTGGCGGGGCGTTGCGCATGTAAAGATAGGTCGGTAGAGAGAGGTGAAATGTAGTCGATCTGGCAAGTGCCAGCAACGGGACGCAGCGGGACCTGGGACAACTACGCTGACTTGACGACGTCGACCGTACGTACGCTGTTGTACGTAACGTTGCTCGTGGGTACCTGCTTACCTTTCTGGCTTTTTTGGTCGCGTGTAGCGGGGAGCTGTACAGAACTGACTCTTTGACCGACTGGTTGACTGGCGGAACTGGGCTTTGATGTCTTTCACTTGGGAGATGGAGCGAAAAGTCTTTTTGATATTCTATCCAGCAATTTGCGCCATCTCCGGCCATCGGACTTTCCAAATCGCCATATATAGATTCCTTGCACCTCCCAGACTGCCCACCTCCGATATTTGACTGATGACTCTTTCCTGCTGCACTCTGCTCTGTGTTTGGTACGGCGCGAACCGGTATCATGCCAGTGGCCGTGTCGCGGATTACAGAATTACCTGCGTCTGGCGCGTGTATAAAATATCAGCAATTCGGCGTTATTACACATCTGTAAAGCAAGAGCCTCACGCGTCAAAAAACTCTATCCTGGCTCGACGTTAAAAAGCGGGGAAGTCGGGCCTGTAATGGAGGGGCACACGCCCGGTGTTGGAGGGGTTGGGCTGCCCCTCACTGGTTGCGCTCCTCATCCCAAAAGTTTCCATCCAATGAGGACAGCGGGCGCACGCTCACAAGGGCAAGTCCACCACCCTTCAGTGTGTTTGGCAGGCAGGGGACCGGTTCGCATGCAGGCTGCAGCAGTGTGCCATTGTAACCCCCACAATTGTGCGCCCGAAAAGGTATGGTTTAAATGGTTGCAGATGGCCGCTGCAAGGTGTGACGATTGGAGGAATTGTCCAGAGACGAATCGTTGCAACCATACCTAAATCCCCTTCGACCGTGAAACGGCAGTGCCGTCACCATTCTCACTTCTCTTTGGCGTGCAGCGTGTGGTTGCCATCGCAATTCGCGACTTTGCTCAAGGCCGGTGCTATCCATTGATCCATGCCGCCGCCGCCACCGCTTTCATTACACGTACCTTCGCCAACAACCACGTTCAACAACCACGACCACGACACCCCCGGCAGCACTTCCATTCGCCTTTTATCCTATCGCAATCTTGGTGGGCCGATCGCACCGCCTTCGGCCGGGAACAGCGCAGGAACCTTCGCAGCAGAGCGGACCCGGCGGCGGATTCCCGGAGCCCAGGGCTTCCTTTGACGGCTTTCCATTGGACCAATGGCCACTCAGCTAGCAAGGAACACGGCCTTCGGTGTCCATTTAGCCGGGAGACCTTTTGTTGAACGGACCCATGCCGAAACCGCTGCCATGGACGGACATATGCTTACAGGGGTATGGCTTCCGGATTCCGGATCATCTGGAACCAAGGACGACGACGACAACGACAATGATGAGGGCAGCCTTTTTGGAGCAGACTTCACTACGGTATCAACAGGCTTCAGCCTTGAGATACAACCGTCCTCCTCTAGTTACGGCCTCATTTCCTCGTGTATCACTAACAGCATGCCTCTAGTGTACGGCCTTACGGCTCAATTTCCAAATGCACTATGCGAATTGGCGTAACACGAGGAGGGCTCGTCAGTGTGGGGTCTTGTTGGCTCAACGGAATGATGAATCTGATAAAAACCACGCAAGGCCACCACACGCCACGCTCACCGTACCGGCACTAAAACCACGGCTAGCTGCGGACTCGAGTCAGTTTCGAAACAGCATATTCCGACATCGCCAACTGCTACTGATGAGTAGGCAACGATCGGCAGCGTAGAGCCTTGCGGTTGACAGGAGACCGTTGTGACTGAAAAGATTATTGTTGAACAGAAGGGCATCATAGGAAGTTGGATCTGTAGGGCCTGGCATGTTAACTTAAACTGCTTACTGTATATAAACATTGCAGTCGTCGTCGAGTCTTGTCCCCAAAACATGCCCAGACTTTCATCTACCGCACGCTACTGCGTGAAATCGTGCTACTGTAGAGTGTAGTTCAGCCGGGCTGCCGGAGAGAGCTTCGGACAACTCGGGACTCCTTCGCCAGTTTCGGAGATAAGCTACTCCAGGCTGCGTAAAGGGTACCCGCTAAGAACACAACGCGTCGCCAAGCATTTTAATTATAGTGTCGATGTGTAATCGTAGTTCAAGACCGTAACCGTCAACTCGTCTTCGTGGGATCGCTATCCATCAAAAGTTTGTTTCCGGATATGATGGGTTCGATGCCTCACTATCTGCCTTGATCTCTGCCTTCCAATCCTGCCTTCGTGGTTGCCTTACACGGACTAATGAAAGGGAACTACTCGCAGTACCTATGTATCGGTGCAGCGCCATCAAGGTGCGCCACGCTTCCGATAAGCCTTACGCCAGCTGCGTGCCGACCTTTGTCCTACTATGTACATGATGGATTATACAGTAGTAATGCCAACTTGCAAGCGGGAAAGTTGCCCATGCTCTTTACCCAGTACAAGGCCGATGAAATATTATGGATACAGCAGGAATTATGTGAAAGACTGTCTGACCATGTCCACACGAGAGCAAACAACCCGAATAGCTATCACCAATGCCGTGATCCAACCAAGTCCGCAAGTTCGCGCATTGCTTGCCGGAAGGAGGAGAGTGTGGTGTCACTGGTGGTGGCGCGGTAGAGGTACCTTGAGGACTGACGGAGTCTACGGAGACACTGCATAGGGCATATCGATAAGCTTGTCGATGAGACGGCTCAGCCTCCACTAGAGACTACCGTTCGTCCGTCGTCCCCGTCCATGTTCCCTCCCTGTCCTTTATTACACTACTCTTCGACTGCCGAAACTGCCTTCTCTGTGTCTCGCAATGTGTTGAGCAAGTAGGGCACACCCATCCGTGCTGCTTGATCCTCACTCTTGTCAACAGACACTTGTTGCAGCGCCACCACCCGCTCGTCACCGCGCTCTTGGCCCGTGTCTGCCACCACTCCTTCTCATCCTGCTTACCGCGCCTTGTCAGGTCCTCCTTGTGGAAGTTTCGTAGGTGGTCGCGGAAGTGATCATCCCGCACAAACGCCTCTTGGTGCCGCAGGCACTTCTTGTAGTCGCATCGATATTTCTTCTTCATGTCGTCTGAGAGGTGCGTTTGCCTGTGTCGCTTCAGGTCGGCGGCCCGGCTGAAGGCTTTATCACAGCCAAGATGGGAGCACGTGTTTCTCTTTCTCTCTGGGAGCAAAGAGTGCTGTTTCGCACAGACAGGGGCACAGCAGCTCGATTGGATCTGCCACGGGCGTTGCGCCGGGAAGATTGATGATCTGCTGTTTTCAGACGGCCAAAAGTCAGATTGCGTCCTCGTGGGCCTTCATGTTGATGACGGCGACTGCATAACGCCGTGAAATCAGATGAGGGTGATGCACTTACCGAGTGGATGCTTGTTCCAGCTTTGCTTGAACACTCACAAATACTACTGCAATGGCGAGGCAACATCGCTGAGGGACATCGAAGCCTGTTAGGTGAATAAGGAGCTGATGGGCAGCCTCTTGAAGTATCACGCTGACGGGAGGAGAGTTGACACCATGCCTGCTGAACACATGGTAAAGCTGCTTGGTGAGAACATCCTGCACTCCCACCCTCTCGGGGAATTCTTTTTGACGACTTTTGGCTCGCTGAATCGCCTCTCGAACCGACTCTGAAGTAATCACAGAAGGCATGAACGTCTCACTCTGATACTGGTTGTCTAAAGCAAACTTGGCAACCATGGTAGCGTGGTTTGCCATGTCGAATATGTCGGGGACCGCCTTGTTGAAACCCTGCAGCGGGCTGGGTGGTGAGATAATCTCTGATGAATATGTAGCGGTTGAGTCAACGCTATCGGACCTCGTCATGCCGACTGAGTCGAGATCATATTGATATAAACTTCCAGAGGCTTCGATGCCCAAAGTATATTGGAGATCTGCAAGGGCCATATTCTGCTAGTTCCGTGTGGATTGATGTCCAAGTCGTACGGATTCTTAACGGATATCTGGCAGTGGTCTGAGTTTTGAAAGTAAACAAAAACACACCGAGGTTGATATGTCTTGAAAGGCAATTCAAAATCGGTGAAGAAACGAGCGAAGCAGCTTGACTTGGCAGGTGATGAAGGGGGAAGATATAAGATGGCCGTGGCATGCAAAGATACGTCAAGCTGGTCCAAGGATTTATGTGTAGATAATGGGCTGAATACATCTACACCAACATCCAGATGACAGCCACGGATTCTAGCGGCCTTCTGTGAAGTGAAGCGGGATTATCTATCAAGTTACTACGCATTCACCGTTCAAATATATGAGGCGAGCGGATGCTGACTTTGGAAACGCATTGCACTGCCAGCTCTAGTCCTGGAGGTTGGCCTTGCAGAGCCTGAGGCGTCGGTGTTGTATCAAAACTCGGTCGCAGGACAAAGTGCCGTAGTCTGGATCGATATCAATCTTTGTCAGATGACGACCTGCGCAAAGGAGGGCTTCGAAGAAACAAAGTCGAAAGGCGACCTTTGTCAAACCAACCTACGACCATAGCCAATGTGAAAGATAGCGGATAGTGTTCACACCGAAGATGCTTCAAGCCACAGACCGTTTCATCCTATAGTCACTGTTGCTTCGTTATGTCGGATGTTAGCAGCCTCTTGCCTTGAGTGGTCGACGAGACGGTCGACAAGGCTCTCTGCGCGATTATCTGAGTGTGAAGGCATTAAGCCTAGGACATGTGCCCGCAATGTTGCCAAAACGACAGGGAAAATATACTCCTGGCGTGGTCAGAGTAAAGACACCAGGAGGCTTAGACGACTAACCCATTCTTTGCAGTACATACGTCCTCCACTCAACGGGCAGCTCTCTTTTGCAACCTAATACCCGGAAGCCGTTTGGCTATATGCCGTCCATGTCCTCGCACCAAATTCGGAAAGGAGAGCGGTGATACAAATGCAAACCACCCAAACCACCACCCGCGAGGCAGTTACTATGCGCAGCCATGTGGCGTAGCAAGGTGCAAGTGTGCCTGGTGCTACTAGGTAGCTGTCGCCGGTTACCCCCACGTACTTTATACACCTCACGTATAATACATAACAAGAGTGAATATGTTTTCTCCATTCACACCAGGCAGCCACCCGTTTCAGTTTTTCGGTGAAAGGAAGGCCAAAGTGCAGGAATGATGCAACTTGATGCAAGCAACGACATATCCGAGTAACATATGTTGCACAGCCAATGAAGGCCTGCCCACCTGTATAGAAACTTCCATTTCTGTTCTGGATACGGTGTGATCGAGCGTCAAAATGATTAATGGATTGGCATCATTTAGCAGACACAGATGATTACCCTTTGTCCGAGTGAGGTTCGTCTTCCATTGATCATCGTAGAGTAACCTGCGTTTCCGCCTCAATGTTGTTCACAGAGCGGGTGCATGATCATTGCTTGAGAGGTTTGATGTGAGGAACACCTTACCGTTAAGTAAGCTCGTTATACTGCTACGCTCTCAGGCTGTCTTCCTCATCCCGGATTTTTACACCTTTGCGCTCTAGTAGCTAAAGCAACATGCTACCACTTACCGCTGTGCGGACAAAAGTGCTTTGAAGGGTCTAGTCTTTTGGAAATCCCAAGTCGAGAGCCTCTTGAACGACGGGTAGACTAGACAGAGGGCCAATAAGCCCTATTCGCACAAAGAAGCAAGAAAAGCCTGCATGTATCAAGGAAGGAATGTTACGCTAACGTGGTAGATGAAAGCTGGCACCGCTGTACGGTGATCAGCAAAAGCTAATGACGCTCCATCTTGAATACTAAGGGGAAGTCGATAGGCTTCACCAAAGCTTGGCTAAAGCTGAAGACAACTCCAGAGCCTGCGGCAGCCTATCATACCCCTACCCCCAAGCTCAAGAAACACTGCAATCACCCCATAGGCTATGTGCAGATTCTCAGACTACGGTTACAGCACTAACAGTAGCAAACCTAAGCGATAAGCACGCCAGCTTCTATCCGGGCCATAGCAAAACCTCCTTATACTTCGTCCTCAAGGAACTTGTAAGTGAACTTGAAGTCGGCCTTCCTGCGATTCATCCTGGATGTGGGTGTTAACCATGGGGTCAGGGGCGCTTCATTCTGGGGCTATGCCATACCATGTGCTCTCGTAGTCAAAGAAACGATAGGTTCCTTGTTCGAATTCCTCCGTGATCGATTTCGGCTCCTCGTGTCGCTGGAACCACGTCTGGTACTGCTTGTGAAACCTCCAACTTTGATCTTTCAGGGCCTTGGCAGCAAGGTATTGTTGATATGTTCCCTGTTTGTAGTAGAAGACGTAAAAGAGGGTGTCCGGATCAATCCGCTGGTAGAGTCGAGGATCCTCAAAGATGGCCAGGGGCTCCTGCGGGAACTGGTTGTGCGTGTGGTACCTGACATCGGGGTAGTAAGGTCGCGGTAGCTCAGTGTCGAGGGAATTCGGCTTGTTCGCTAATGCCGCCGTGTGCATCCTCTGCGTGGCAGGCGAACCCAAAGGCGCTGGGCACTTCTTGGTAACCTCGTATGACTCGACCAGATCCTGCAAAGACGCTGGTAGATGGTAAATCGACTCATCTTCTTCCGCTTCCTCGATGGGCTTGATGCCATTGCTCGTACCGTTCGTTTGGGGCACTGTACACACGTTAGTAGGCGAGGTCTGGCATGGATGCGGACTGTTCCGACCTTTCGGCTGAGTTTCCACGGGTTCTGGTTCGGGTGTTGCTTTGGAAGTTGTTGCTACAGCAGCTGGTGCTGGTGCTGGTGCTGGTGCCGGTGCCGGTGCCTTGTTACGCGAAGTCACGTTCTTGGCCGGTTCTGCTTTGCTCGTTGCCGGGGTATTCGAAACCGACGCAACAGCAGCTGGGGGTACTGCGTTTGCTATCCTCTCCTGGGAAACCGGCTGCACCGTTGCCACGCTGGGTGAGTTTGCTGCGCTGGTCTTCACGTGGGATGCTGGTAGCGACGAGTTGGCCGTTGGCGGCGGGGGTAGAGGCGCGATTCCTACACCACTCTTGTCGCTCGCGGCTGCCGCGGCTGCCGCACTGGCATACTTGAGACCCTCGGCCGGCCTCGTGGGTAGTGATGCCGGCTTCATAGGTGCGTTGCTTGCCGGTGTATTGCTAATGCTTGTCAGCGTGTTGGTGTGGACTGTCGCCAATGTCGGTAGTGGCGACTTCAACTGCGCAGAAGAGCGTCGTGTTGATGATGCTGCAACGGTTTCGGCTGGGGTACGCTGTTTCGCCGCCGGCACGCTCGCCGGCTTGGGCTCGGGTTCGGGCTCGTCCTGGACCGACTGGGCATCCTGTGAGGATCCCTTGTCGTTGTCGACATTCATCCCGTAGGCATCCTCTTCTTCCTCCAAATTCAGCTCATCGTAAATGCCCTCGTCGTCCATGAAATCCTCGTTCATGCCATCGGTAACGTAGTATCGGATACTTTCTTCCAGGTCGTTCACTTGCTCGGTCTCGACGCCGCCGTTCTCCAAAGATCGTCGAATCAGCTCCAGCTTCCCCTGGTGCCATTTGTGTCGTTCGATGATGCGCTCGATTTCGCTTATCCGGTCGGCCTTGGCGCCTTGTCCCTTGCCCCTCTTCATGGTGGCCTGTATTGATTCGCTCTCGGCCTCGAGGGTCTCGATCTGTTGTTCCAGCTCGTCGACCATTTGGCTGAGGAATTCGCCCGCCTCCAACTTGGCTTGCTCTTTGGGGTCCAGCTTGGCCGCAGCCGACAGGCCCTCCTTGGAATACGCCTTGGTCTTCATGGCCTTTTCTACGGCCTTGAACTTTTCCATTTGCTAGAAATACCGGTGAGCTTTGGGGTGTTCACGGCGCCACACGGAGGAGAGTCCATGCTCAGCAACCAGCAGGGATACGAACCGTCTCTATCAAGCGCCTATGCTCGAGTAAAGGAGCCTTGTCCTTGATGTCGTTACTAGCCGCCCATGTCTTGATCTGGTCTCTGAGCCTTTGGAGCTTTTTTATTTCTCGTTTGAGGTTATCCTCGAGCTTGTCCTTTTGGGCGGGGTTGTTGGACTGCTCAATCTTCTCGTAAATGGCCTCGAACTCCGCCACGCCTTCTGCGACCTTCTTGAAGCACTTGTCGACTTCTTGCGCAAGCTTTCGGGCCGCCATCGTGTCAGACTTGTTTCTCGTAAACTCAAAATGCAAGGTGAGATGTTGGAGTGCGCTCTGGATGCGGGGTGAGCGACGATGGTGTGATGTGTTGGTGTGGTGATTTCGGGATGTTTTGGGCCCCACGCGACCAGAAGCTACCGGGCGGGCTACTGCGGCAGTAGCGGTAGGCTACGCTTCTCGGGGCTTCGAGCCGTCGTCGGAAGGGGAGACGACGAGAGGCGAGCTGGTTTCGGAAGCTTCCTTGGTTAGCTGATGGGATCTAGCGAAATCGACGTGAAGGGGACTTGGACTTGTGTATCGACTGGGTTGTGAATGCATGGATATCATGTAGAGGTATGCTGTCTCGCTGTGTGGGCAATGCGCCGAGGCTACCAACTGTCGCAAGGCCAACCGGAGGGCAAGGGCGCCACGGGCAACGGGCAACGGGCAACGGGCAACGGACGGGTTGAATCACCTTTGATTAAGGAGTAACGGTAGTAGTAGTATGGATGTTGATGTCAATGTGGTTGCGGTGTTGCTCGATGGCGATCCCCAATCTGGTAATTGCCTGGCGTGGTCGGTGTTGTCGTCGTCGTCGTCGAAATGATCCGAGACGGATTTGTGGTTTGGGAGAGAATGAGGAGGTTTGCCCTGGTTGTGCGGATTCGGCGAACAGAGATGGCGATCCTGCCCAGGTCGAGAGGCTCCCTGATCTTACGTACCGCTGTCCACTGTAGGTAGGTACCTGCCTGCCCTGGGCTACCCCGTAGGTCTAACAGTAGTGCGGGTGTACTGCGGCAAAGAACTGTTTGGGGACTGTCCTGTCTCAAGCTAAGGTGCCCGTCCTTCCTGCTTTGCGAAGGCGGAAGGTACCTCCGGTATTGCAATAATAAGCGAGGGTACTTCCGCCCCTAGTGGTAGGTAAACAGCGGGCAGGCAGGCGCTGTAATGACGGGAGGCAACAGCACTGGTCCTCCAGGCATTTTTGTGGAGATGGGACGGGAGGGCTGTTTGCCGAGATGGAGGCATTGAAAGAAAGACCCACTCTTCACCTCATGTCTCCTCTTCAACCTCAACTTGGCCTGCCTCTTTAGATGTTCAATCTTCCCATCATCGAGAACACCCTGCTCCTTTTTCTTTGTCGAGCCACCGGCCGAACACTCTTACCACTTAAACGTAGTTCTCGTTCAATTCCTGAGCATAAAAGGACGATGATTAAGTGGAAGCTTCACGACAGTGCTATCTACTACGTTCGAAATGCGTGCACTGCTGCCGTAGAGGTACTCTTCCCAAGACTTATCTCAAGCCCAACATAGCTCTAGTCTAGCATAGTAGCGTACATACTTTCAGATGCCCTTTCACTTGGACTTCAAGGCTGTGTCTTGGTATTTTCGGGCTACCCAACAGGCTCCGCAGTTGGTGGTGCTTCGGGTACCTCTAGGGGCCGTTTCAATTTCTTATTCCACTCGAGTCACCTTCCTTGCCTGGTGCCTGACTTTGTCACTTTATTTCGCGACCTTGCTGTCCATCGAAGCTCAGCCAACAACGTTACAATTCCAACTAACTCGCAACGCCAAGGGTTACAAAGCCGTTTAGGATCAAGAAGCGCAAAATGAAGGGTCCGTATAGCTAAATCCCCGCCTCTCTGGTTGTCATTTTGTGTATAGATACCTGGCCAACATATCACACACAGCAATTCTCCAGCGCGTGCTCTCAGCCTCTGTCACGGTCGACAACCAGTTGGTGTCCTCCATCGGCCAAGGCATTCTCGTTTTGGCGGCGGTTGCCCCCGGCGACACGGCAAAGGAGGCTGAGGCTCTGGCATCTAAAGTACTCAAGTTGAAACTGTGGGATGATGAATCAGGAGGACGGGTACGGCACTTGCTTGCAAAAGCACATGGACTGAAGTGATCCCTTTCTGACAACCAGCGGACCGCAGTGGAAGAAAAGTGTCCAGGACATCGGCGGCGAGGTATTGTGCGGTGGGTAACGTCTTACCGAGTGAGCTAAAGCTCTTACTACAAGACTGACAAGCAGCCGCATGGTGTAGTCTCTCAGTTCACCTTGCTTGCTTCTACCAAGAAGGGCAGCAAGCCCGACTTCCATGGAGCCCTAGGCCCAGATGAGGCAAAGACTTTGTATGATCTGTTCTACAGGAAGGTCCAGGAAGGCTATACTGCAGACAGAGTCAAGAACGGTGTTTTCCAGGCGATGATGCAGGTCGCCTTGGTCAACGATGGACCGGTGAGTATTTCAACAGAGTACTAGTACACAGGCCTGGTAGCCAAGAGCCCTGTTGACATGACAGTAGGTCACCCTCGAGGTATCGGCCACGCCGGCAGCGCAGCAGCAGCAGCAGAAGAAGAAGGAAGACCGAAAGGTTAATCCAAAGCAGCAAAAGCAGCCGCCGTCGATGACCATGAAAGACGGCCAAACGGCGGCAGACAAGGCGCCTGAGTCCACAAATCAAGTCTAGGTGGGCGAGTGGGTGACTATTGTCCCTGCTAGATAGACGTGACAAGGGGTCTGTGTGATTGTCAAATGCATAGAGAGCTGGGAATCATGCTATGATAGAGATAGAAAGTAAGGTAGTTCTAGAAGTAGAGCTGAGGTACCAGAGTGCTCGGCCAGGCCACGAGGAATGAAGTATCCTTCTGTATGGTCTCTACCTCTACAAGTCGCATCTTGGGAATGCTGTGGAGCCTCAGCTGCTTTAGCCGCTCCCAGTGGGAGTAGCTGCCTTGTACTCGTATGCACTGACACCCAGAAAAAGATACCTCTGGGTATATTGTGGATATCAGATGAAGAAAGAGGAAACGGGACGGGAGCTAAGCACATGGCTGCCCCACCATTCTCGAATGTTCACGAAACCAATTCACCCCGCCCTGCAGCCAGCTGTTTGGACTTTGGGACGAAATCATCACCGGCAGCGACTCCCTTATTACTTCAACCAATCCGTCAGACGCTGTCTTCCTGCAGTTCTGCTCGTACCGTACAGTTGTGCTACCTACCTAGCTCTACATACTTTCCTTTCCGCCTGCGTACCTGTACCAATTCTTTTCGTCAAAATCAGAATAGCAGCTAGTTGCGACGGGTAAGTACGCTTCTATTTGCGCTCGCTCTGTGAACATCTTGGTCCTCAGACTGCTTGCCGTATCCCTCCCTCCCTGCCTGCTATCTGTGCCGTGGACAAACAGTTTGCTTCCATCGTGGTTTATTGAGCTATAAATGCTAACTGGGCTCGTTCAGTCGCAGTACAATAACTCAGACTCGCACCAATTTCTCGTGAAACCACCACTCCTCGATTCAAACCAACCATGTCTTCTACCGACGACGTCAAGCAGGCTCGCAGCCGTGCTTTTTTGACATCACTATCGGGGGCAAGGAAGCCGGCCGTATTACTTTCGAGCTTTACAATGACATTGTGCCCAAGACGGCCGAGAACTTCCGCGCCTTGTGCACCGGCGAGAAGGGCGTTGGCAAGTTGGGCAAGCCGCTACACTACAAGGGCTCCACGTTCCACCGTGTTATCAAGCAGTTCATGATCCAGGGTGGTGACTTCACCGCTGGAAACGGCACCGGTGGCGAGTCCATCTACGGCGCCAAGTTCGAGGACGAGAACTTCCAGTTGAAGCACGACCGTCCATTCCTTCTGTCCATGGCCAACGCTGGTCCCGGTACGTTGCATGTGTCATTTCACTGTCGGCCGTTATTTGGTGCTTCCAACCTCTTGCTAACGCGCATGTTCTGCAGGCACGAACGGCTCCCAGTTCTTCGTCACCACCGTTCCTACCCCACATCTTGATGGCAAGCACGTCGTCTTTGGCGAGGTGCTGAGCGGCAAGTCAGTCGTCAGACAGATTGAGAACCTGAAGACCCAGAACGACAAGCCCACCAAGGAGGCCGTCATTGCCGACTGCGGCGAGCTTAGCGGCGATGCAGCTGTGAGCGCCGACACTAAGACTGCCGACGCCTACGGCGACGAATACGAGGACTTCCCCGAGGACGAAGCCACCGACGGCCAGCCCCTCTCTGCCTCCAAGATTCTCAAGATTGCGACCGACTGCAAGGATTTTGGCAACAAGGCCTTCAAGGCCGGCGACCTCCCCGTGGCCCTCGACAAGTATCAGAAGGGTCTGCGCTACCTGAACGAGGATCCCGAGCTTGACAATGAGCCGGCTGATACAAAGGCAAAGTTGGACGCCCTGCGCGTCTCGCTCAACAGCAACGCGGCTCTCATGAACATGAAGCTGAGCGCTTGGGATGAGTGCGTCCGCAGCGCCGACAGCGCGCTTGCTGTTGCCGCCATCTCAGACAAGGACAAGGCCAAGGCTCTCTACCGCAGGGGTTACGCCCAGGTGCGCATGAAGGACGAGGACAGCGCCTTGACGAGTCTGGAGGAGGCCAAGAAGATTGCGCCTGAAGATGCCGCCATTCTCAATGAGCTGGCGGCTGTCAAGAAGGCTGCCGCGGCTAGATTGGCCAAGGAGAAGGCCGCCTTCAAGAAGTTCTTTTCTTGATCAAGTTGTTCTTACGAGGACTTGCAGTTTATTCTACGTTTGTGTCATAGTTAAGGTGCTCCTCGAGTTAGGGGGTATCTGCGAAAGGAGTTATCGGCATTGAGCGGGTTGGGTTCAAGGTCCAATTACATACAATATCTAATGATATCCACATTGGCGTTTGGGGAGTTCAAGCTGTGTCAAGGTTGGAACATGGGCTCTCAAGCGAGTGTTTCGACCGGTCACTGGAGTCTTGATAGCCTCATGGAATAGAATGTGTTTTAGGCCACTTTCGCCGCTTTTGTAGACACTGTCGTTTTCTTGCGAGACGGACCAAAGTAGGCAATCCCCTCCCCTCGATTGAGGTCTGGAGACATTAGTACGTATTCGGCGGTTGGTGCTGCCGGATGGTCCGCCAGATCGATAGCAAGCATGCTCTCAAGAGATAGGTCATCATCATCATCGTCGTTGTCATCATCGTCGCTAAGTACAAGAACCAAAATGCTAATCATGAGATTATAGGGAGAAAAAGAAGAGAAAAATGAGCGCTCGGTCTGTTACGCTCTCTGAGGACTCGCATTCCATATCGCGTGGGCATAAATCGTCAATGTATGCCCCTGTATCCAAGAGCTGTCGTGCGCCCTTCCATACCCGGGTATCCATGGCCTTCGAAAGCAGCCATGGTTCAACGACCGTTGGTGCTTTTGAATCGAGTTGTTTTAAATCCCTTTCTCGTGCCAGTGTTGGCGGACAGCAGACTGATGGCGATCCCCTTGGGATTTACCTGAAGCAGTTTTGGCGTCTTTGCTTGAATGCTTTTCTTTGCTGTTTTTCTCTCGTTCCGCGCCTCGATGCTTTTCTTTGCCTTCTTTCTCTCGATCTGTCCCTCGATCCCGCTCTCGATCGTTCTCTCTACCTGCAGCAGTGGCAGAAGATGACGATGATACTACTGCCGACGTGCTGCCTGCTTCAGGCAGCATTAGCCCCGTGATGAATCCGGTGCTGCTTCCCGTACCGAGCTCGGGTGAAGCCGTCCTTGTCTTACGGATGAACCCTGTAAGGAATTTCCGTGGCGCCTGCATTCCATTGCGCAACCCCTTCACAGTCCCGCCCGACATGGACGACAGCTGCTCGCTGCTCTTGGAACCTTGCCGTATCGCGCTCGAGGCGTTCCGTATGTCCCTACAACTAATGCTTGTGCTGCTACTGCCGCCGCCTCCCATAACAGGCCCATCTACCTCGCTACCTGAGGAGCCAGGCGTCATGCTCTCACCGTCTACCCAAAAGGTCCCAGTCGCGTTGTTGCGCGCAGACATGCCAAGGACATCACCATAGCTCAGGTTGTCCAGAGCATCGGAAAGACGAAGCCGTTCATCCGGTGGCTTGGTGGTAGTTTCACCAGCGCTTCGACGGGTCTCCATCTGCGAGAAGCAGTGCGTTGCGCGTTGGTGGAGCGTCGTGCATAGACGATGGAACTGAAGCAGGTCGCCTTCGCAGTTGGAAGCGTCCCAGTCTGACTCGGGATGGATTTTAGCCCATAGCTTGACCAAAGCCGCAAAGTTGCGCGCATGATCGACCAGGTACGGGAGCGAAGGAAACCCCTCACGAGCGAGGGGTGACAGGCGTCCCAGAATCGTCAGGGGCGTCGAGTAGGGAGCAGGCACGGCGGTACTGGTTTTCTCGGCCGGAATGGCGCACACGGCGTCAGCAAAATCCTTGAATGGCTGGCGCTGCCTGTGGAGGAACTCGGTCATTGGCTCCATCCATGCCTCCTTCTTGGTGTCCCTATTCAGGTTGGTGAGGTTGGCTAGAGCTTGGATGCTCTTGGCGATGAGAGTCAGGGTGCGTTGTGCGCGCGGTTTGGGGTGGTCGCGCAGGAGGCCGAAGAGCTTCGGATTAAGGATAGCTGGGCAGATGAAACGCAGGAAGAGAAACCCGGACACCGAAGTATAAACAGTGGCAGCGGTTCTATGATAGTGGCCATAGCGATCCTCTGCAACAGCCCGTATATATTTCAGGACGTGACGAATTTCGGGCGGCAGGCGGTTTGCGGACGATGCGATACAGCGCCACACAGCGCCAGTATGCTCAATGAGCTTCGCCCAATGCTGCTGTATATCGTCACCGTTCTGTACTCTACTCGGATCAACCTCACAGTCAAGGTCGAGCTCGTTGATCTCACGGATCTTTTCTGCCAGAGTCTCTTCCAAATACTCTTTGCCTAAGCGTCGCATGTACAACTCAAAGGCCTGCGTCAACAACGAGTTTCCTCTAAACAGCAAGCTCGCCTCGCCCGGGAGCGTCCTTTGCATTTGTACAAGTGTAGACCGTTTGTCGTCAGAGGAGATTGAGTCACTGGACATCAGCCGCTGGTTGAACCGCGGTCTCTTGCTCGCAGTTTGGCTCCCTATCGCGTCAATCTCTTCCTCTACCAAGGTCACCAGCCACTCTGTTGCCTTTCCAGAGACCTGGAATATATTGACGAATAGTTCTGCGAGCTTCCGTAGGTTTCCAGGCATCACCTCGGCTATCTGTGTCGTCAGCCCCGATGTAAAGCGATGCAGGAGCTCTGAGAGAGGCTGATATTCTTTGGAGTGCAAGACTATGAACTCTTCGTGATGCACCTTGAGAAGCATTGTTCCAATCGACTGCTGTCGTGCGTCAAACACCTGGAGCCACTGCTCGTGGTCTTTTCCGCGCTGTAGGAGGTGCAAGGGTATGTCGACAGCGCCGCACAGCACCTCGCTCAGCTGGCCGGCTTTCGGCAAGCCAAGAGTGGCCTGAAGCTGGTGGCTAAAACTTTCAGTGGTGCCGACGATCCGTTTCAGAACCACCGATAAGTAAGGTAAGGAGGGAGGAAGGTCGGTAAACTCGCAATCCTCTCGCCAGAAAGGGTTCTTGGTATTGGATTTGGCTGATGTGCGGCCTCGAACTTCGCCATCCAGTATGACCTCGGCGAAGTAATTCCCGACGACAGGGTCCAGCTCTGCAGTATTTTTGCCTTGGCGCTCCATCATGCTTCCTTCCTGAGAAAAGGTCCTGCTCCGTAGCCTTGCCTCGGTGACCCTAACTTTGATCGTTTTTTCGACTCTGAAAACTTCTCCTTTGGGTGCCGAGTTGAGGTTGGTGACCTCGTACACATGGCCTCGGCTTGTTGGATCAAGCCCGTATATATCAGGTACGGCAAACGCTCTGAGAAGGGCAAACCAAGCCTCAAAGAGAACCCTTGACTCCATGGATATGTACACTGGGCGCAAAATTGACAGTTGAGTGGAGGTAGGAGAGTAGATGGGGAAGATACCTATACAGTAGTTTTCGTTGAGCACCGTCTTATCGAGCTGCTGTATAGCTGACCTGGACAACTGAGACAACTCGATCATGGCCAGAAGCGAGACGTCATGCTCTGCCATGAGTTTGAGTTCGCCGTTGTCGGATAGTATGCAGGAAACACGTTTCCAGGCCATGTGTGGTATTCGCAAATCTCGCGCTGAGGGACGCTTGACGATGGCCCGCGGGGAGGTAGCCAAACCTTTATCCCAGAGCATAACTCTGCCCACCTTGATGACGGTAGCCTCTCGCAGGCCGGAAGAGGAGGCCCGACGCTGCATCTCGCTCCTGAGCGGCGGCAGAGCAACGCTACTCCCTGATCTTGTGATGGTATTCTTGGTCCCGGAAGGCCGCAGCTGCTGCCAACACAGCAGGGCAGCAAGCCACAGATCATACTCTTCTGCCGCTGAAGGGCGCAAGATGATGCTGAGATTGAGATGCGGGCTGGTAATCTCCAGCGATGGCCGGCCGCCTCTCTCCATCCGACTGAGGGGAAGCACACGGCACCCACGCAGATCCGGCATAAGGAGGGAGTGAGAACAAGAGCCACCCTCTCCCGAGTCGCTCACCAAGCTCCCCTTCTCCTCGTCTATGTAGCATGTACCACCGTACCATGGGCCACCAATTTCTTTGAGATATTGAGCCTCGCCGCGCATCCTACCGCACAGGTTCTTCATCAACAGCAAGACTTTGTTGGCATCTCGCGTAGGGACGGGCAACGGCAAAGAATCAACTGAGGGCTGGGGCGATGATAATGGAGAGGAATGGTGAGAGGTGGCAGACTTCTTGGTAAGCCGGGTCCTCGTCGTTGATGACTTCCTCTCCTTGTGTCCAGACGCGGCTGCTATGTGGTGAGTGTCTTGCGGTCCATACGAGTTGAAGTGCGGTTGAAGCAGAGGCCTCGAGTCATCTACCACAGCCACTGAGCCGGACGATGAGACGGAGCCGACGCGGTGGCGATTCTCAATAACAAGTTGCTGGCGGAACGCACTGTCCAACGTATGGGTCCTGGGGCGGAAATTTGACAAGGACGGCCGTGACGGTGGACTTGACGAGGCGCTGTCGATAGAGCCCCCCCATACCCTCTCCGAACACCATGCCCTGGCGTCGCGTGGGGAGGCTAGACGGAGTTGCTGCTACGGGACCAGACGGATTTCCAGATGAACTGCCAGCCGGGACGGGTGCGGGCGCCGTCTTGCTCACAACAGGGCCGCCAGCACCGGGGGTGGACCGTGGCGAGGTTTCGGGAGAGATGGAGGGAAATGCGCCTGGCCGGTGTGGCAGGGCTGCGGTGTTCGCCTTGCCGCTTTTTGCAGACATATTGAACGTAACTTCAGCCGGCTCCGGTGTGACGGCTCTGACAGTGGCGGCGGGGCGGGCGGCGGAACGGAAGTTACCATTACCGGTGCCGTTGTCGGTGGATGTAGATCTAGATGTAGATATGGCTGCTGTTGCTGTGGGTTTGGGTGAAGGTGAAGAAGAAGAAGAGAAAGGTGAAAGTGAGGATGAGCTAGCTGGCATTTTGGCCGAAGCAGGCAGAGAGTCGGACTGGACAGCAAGAGGGAGGGTCGTGGCCTTGACCGTGGCCTTGACCGTGATCGTCGTGGCCGTGTCCTGCGCTGTGTTCGGGACCGAGCGGTCAGGTACCGGAAGCGGCGCGGTGACTCCGCCGTCAGGGGAGGATGCTGAGACGTCCGCGGGGGCGGAAGCGGGGGCGGAGACGGAGGCGGAGACGGAGGTGTGGTCATGGCTATGGCTACGGCCACGGTCGCGGTCACGGTCACGGTCACGGTCACTGGAGTCAGGTAGGCCGCCGGGACCTGGTTGGCTCCCTAGAGGTATACCGTCACCACTACCGCCACCGCTACCGCTACCACTGCCGCTGACTGCAGCACTTCCCGGCACAAACAATTGCCTCCCTTCCATTGATGCCGCAACCGTGGTTCCCACGAACAAGGCCCGGCCGGGAAACATGAGTGCAATGCAGACGAAGGGGGATTCCACGGCGCAACCATCTGGATTAGGACAGCGGCGCCGGCTTAGTCTTGCTCCACTGTTCAGGTCCAAGCCCCTTGAAAAGACGGAACTTGGAGGAGGACGTCGACAGCGACGTCGGCGGCGGGAATGGACCGCGGGTGGTCAAATACGGCCTCTATTTTCGCCTTGCCTCACTCAGGTCCTCCTGTTCAAAATCTCAGGTTCCGCCGTCGAGGCGCGTGGCACGACTATGGTAGGTTGTTTGTCGTGAAGGGTCCGGTGGAAATCTGAAAGTCTAATCTCGGCCTGGGGTACCGAGTGAAGCAGCTTCAGGGGGTTAGGGGCAGGTCGGAGCGGGATTATGCATGTACTTAGTTAGTTCTAGTGGGCAGTAGGTACAAAATTAACGAGAGCCTACGTAGGTAGGCAGTAACGAGGGCGACCTCAGCAGCGACGTCAACGGAAAACACTCGGCAACTAAAGCTAATGACGGTCACCAGGTCCGACCTCGAGATGGGAGTCTAGTGTAGTGTAAGTTAGTTGCGTGCTTAGGCAATCGGATCGGGAAATGAATGGCAGATATGATAGCTATCTAACAAACCAAAACATCCTTTCACATCGGCAAGCTGACAGTCATGCCCTACGGGAGGCGGAAGTAGACGTTAAAAATAACAACAACAAAAAGCTGACAGTCAAAAAATACTGTCACCCCCAACAGTGCAGTAAATATGGGTGGGAAGTGACAGTATTTTTTGTCCATCACTGTACCTCAGCAGCATGGACTTGTCCACTGTGCACCCTGTAGGTAAGGTAGCCAGCCATCCACATGGACAACTAGAACAACCAACAGCATCATACAAAAACCCCGAAACGGCTTTGAGGGCGGGGGAACAAACAAAGCGCACTTCCAACTGTTCCTTCAAACAACCTGGGCCAACCTTTCCCAACTTAGAATCCTTCTCCCGCCATGATGGTGCGACCACCTCCATACCATAGCGTCCCGTCTCGCACTTCAAGCCCTTTCTCCTGACCGACAACCCACTCCCCCGTGAACTCGCCGTCGACAGAGTCCCACACTTGAGTCTCCAGCCATTTGTTGATAGCCTCAATCGCCTGGATCCAGCTTTGCCGGGCCTGATGCGTCGCGTGGTCGTCTTGGCCGAGATATCGCCCGAGCGTGATGTGCGCGCTAGGAACCACGTACCGAGACCCGATCTCGACCCCAGTCTTCTTCACTGCCTCGAACAGGTCTCTGCGGAGATGGTGGTACGTGTACCCGTCATCCTCCTCGGCTGCCGGGACGAACGACACGGCAATGGCCGAGAGGTCATAGGATATCATGGGTCTTACCAACCGGGCCCGGTGTGTAAACGTCAGGTTCGTCAAAGACGGTATCGCCATCCGTATCGACGACACGAGGCTCCCAATCTCATCTGAGGTCCGTGAGTGCGCCAGCTCAAGTGCCGTCATGTGCATACAGTGCGTGGGCATGAGCCACAAATCTACGTTACACACAGTCAGTCATTCCACGGTACGCGCAGGTACGGGGCAAGCAGCAAGGGAGAGTGGTTGACAAACTGGGGGCCACCTTCTGGAGGAGGGATTGCAAATGGGAAGCCAGTTTCAATATGTGCTCCGGTGGTCTTGCCCAGAATACAAGACAGTGCCGTGGGTCTCGGAACCCAGGCTCGACTGATGGTTTCTCGAGCCGTAATAAAACGGGATCGATAATGAGTTCTGAAAAGTCGGCTGACAAGAATTGTTGTCGCTGTTGGAGGTTCCGTGTCACTCGATGAGTGGCATACAACGACTGTATCTCGGCCTAGACGTAGAGAGCAGATTGGTGAGCAGGGCTTCAAGTCCTCGCAATTTTCTCCTGGCGTGGAAGGAGAGCATCGGCCGAGGCACCTACGGGATGATCATTGCAGGCTTGTATGAGGGTATCGTACGGGTTGTCTCCCGGCCTGGCCTTAATACCAGAGAGATCCTCCAACTTGTTTCTTGCATCGACTGATTCGATCACGGGCTTCATTGTGTGTTTGCTGAGGACGAAAAGGGCCGGAGCAGATGTTGAGTACAGCTTTTTCAGCCGAGGGCGCAGACTTGACGGTGAGTACGTATGTACGGTGTCGAAACCTATGCCACCTCTTTCAGTGGTTGATATTGTTTGATTGTCTAGAAGGGCAACCCGACATGTGTCAAAAATATTATTGGGCACTCCTTCCAAATTTGGCCATTCAGCTATTCAGACGCACAACCCTTTTTAAGTAAGGTTGATTATTATAAAATACCCCAGCAGCATGCACCTTCCGCGAAACACCGAGACACAGAGGGGCCTTACCACCCCGCCAATTCTATGCATTTCGAACTCCCTAGTACGGCAATCGGTTTAACCATGAGGCTGGTGCTGGTTACCAGCCGCCATGTGTAGGCCATCCATCACCGAACAACTCCAGACAGCAGGTCAAATGAAGCAAGCCATGCCATAGTGATCGCACCGCCAGTCAACCCGGTAGTTACATGAAACCTTCAACGCAACGCAATTCCCAACGGCAATTCGCCCTCCGGTCATAGTTTACTCGCTATCGACTGAGGCGGCAGGCGAACTGTGACAGTGGATGAGCCAAAGAAAACCTCCTGACAATCTTCCACGGCAACCTCATTGGCGTGCTGGAAAACGAAGAAATCAATCGCCTTGTCGGCTGGGCCAAGGGCCACCATTGGGGAGTGCCACGTGCCTGCCCCGTAGGTTACAGCCTGGTCCGTAGTGGCGATGAAAGCACGCAGGCCCTTCAGGTCGGGTAGTCCTCGACCCGGCAACTCTCGATTAACCATCGCCCCAGCAGGCCGCGAGGAGGGAACTGGCAGCTGTTGGTCTTTGGCACTCGGCGAGAGGCTCGGAGCGACAACGACCAAGTACCGACTTTGGGAATCGGCGTGGAGCGGGACAAATGTTTGGCTGGTGAACGGATGGCGCTCGAGAACGGTGACTGGGAAGATTTCACACTCAACTCCGGCTTCGAGTCGCCGAGGGAGCGCCCGTGATGCACACACAAACATGTTGGAAACGGTCACTCCGGTCCGGCCGCTCGGCGCCTGGTCGTAGAGGTTTTCCATCCGTGACACGTGCTGGTACTTGATTGCCGTTCCCTGGTTGGCGACAATGGCATCGAAGGGCATGCCTGCCGTGTCGTTGGCCTTTGCAGCCATGGCAGGGTGAAGGTCAGGTCGTGGGTTCGCAACCACATCACCAAATGGTTTAAACGCCTCCAGTTCAAATGGTACCGCATCAACCGCCATGTCCAGTCCGTTCAGCTTTATCTTGACAGGGGTAGCCATTGCTTTGTCGTTGGCAGCCTGCGCCCTTCTGTAGTTATGAGGACGTTGATTCACAGTCCTTGGGATGATGGTGTCGTCGTTTGACGGGATAACTAAAAGCAGGGAGATATGGTTTCTTCTAAACAGGTGGAAGAGGTAGACAAGTAAGTCGGGGAATGAATAAAGTGTCTCTCGGTGCGAGTGATTGAATGGGTAATTGCGCCTGATAAGGAAGTATGAAATGGTGGTATTTGCCGTGGTATTTGGTAATCTATAGGTAATGATAGGAGACTCGGCTTACACAGCACAGGTGACTGGGCGGCCATGTGGAGATAGGGAAGTCGGATGCAAATACACCGAGGTTGGTTGCAACGACTTGATAGGGACCGAATCAGTGGGTTTTAGCTCGACTCCTAGATGCTACCCAAGGGCCACATCAAGAATCAGTTTCGTTAGTCTTCATAGGTAAGGGACTGTCTGGTAAACTATGACATCTCGAAAGTGTAATTTACTTTAAGAAGAGACAGGTGCGCGGGGAAGACAAACACCGCAATAATGGTGCTTTCGCAATTGGGGAGCGGGGGAAGTTATGAGGGGAGAGGGAAAACCCCCGACAGCCTAACGAAGAAGAAAAACGGTACAGCTGGGAATCAGACAACCGAGGAGGGAAGAAAGGAGAAGGGGCCATGAAGAAGAACAAAGAAAAGAAAAAAAGAAAAGGAATCTCGAGTGTGAGTTATAAAAGGAAAAGGTAAAGATTGGATGAAATCCAAAAAGAACTTCTATGTCAATCAAACACTCCTTCGGTAAGGATCGAACTTACAGCCTCCAGATTAACAGTCTGACGCGCTAGCCAATTGCGCCACGAAGGATTTTTTGATGATTACACAAGCTTAACCCTGTACTTAAGAACCTTGGATATAATGCTCAGGACACCTTCCATGCTCGACCAGCCGACGGACGACTTCGGAAAAGGACACACGCACTGCGGGTATAATACATAAAACACAAATAACTGTTCACCAATCGAAAGTTGACATTTTCTTCCATGTACAGATTTTCGAGTTTTCATGTCGAATACACTCCAGGATATCTGAGATGCTCACGGTACGCCCCGTCAAGCATCTTGGTTGAACATCACGCACTTGCATGCTAGATGCCATCCTCGTCGTCACCCTCTAACCAGATCTCATGCCCATCACCCTCCCATACGAATAAACTAGCCAGGAACCCGAGTATGGCCATTCCGCTCAAGCCCCACCATACGGCTCCAACGACTCCCATATTTAGGCCAAGCCCATACAGGAAGCCACAGAGCATGGGCCCCAAAGTCCTGGCAAAACTGCTAACGCTTTGCCCGATGCCGTGTACCGTCCCTAGCACACTTGGATGCGGAGTGCAGTTGTTGACTAGAATGGTCTGTGTTGGCAACGCAAACGTGCGTCCAACGACCTGAAGGGCGAGCACTCCAGCAATGGCCATCCACACCGCGATTCCGTCTTTGGGGCTTGGTGGCGGCGAGGAGCTCGGCACCAAGCTTAGATATGGCACTAGAAAGTAGGCAAAGGGGAAAAACAGGAGGAAGAAGCGCCAGCTCCTGACCGTACCCAACCGTGCAGAAAGCCGCGGGTAAAGTCCGAGCTGAAGGCCGATCCCAATAACACCGAGAATAGCCATGGCCATGCCCACCTCACGGGGTTGTAGGCCTAAGCCCCCGGTAAAGATGAAAGGGAGATTCCGCAGCAAGGCATTTGGAGATGCTGCGGTTCTGGTTGGGTCGTACATGGGCGTGGAAAGGAAGACGAACCACAGCGAGTTGAAGGTACCAACGTGAAAGGCAAGGAGGAAGTTTGCAACCAGTGTGAAGCTGACGTTTCGCGTAAAGATACGTCGGAAAGGGAGACGCTGGGTGTATCGTCTCCGACCCTGTTTTTGCTTCCCAGGACCATTGCAAGTCGGCTTGCCTGAGGATTTGTTTTCCTCCACGGTAGGACTTAGTTCGAGTTCAGCACTTGAGTCTGTCGATGCCAGTGGTGCATAGAACGCCTTTGCGTCACCGCGAGAAAAACATCTCCGGAGCTTCTGCCCCAGTTCCAAGCCCCTGTCTTGCACCATTGCACGCGAGTCCAGTGTCTAAGTGACGGAGAGGTATGAGTAAGCATGGCATCACAGAAATAAGGGTTGGGAGCCAAGATAACATGATTAGCATGAGATAAACTTGCCTCTTCCAAGAACAACCAGACGGAGACCATGGCGAAAAAGAGAAAAACTGCCGAGAGTATGTTGGGGGCAGCATACGGAAAGTGCCTAAAGAAGCCAACTTTGCCAAACGTGTCAGGGTAGGTCCCCGCAGGGTCAGAGAGAAGCCCGCCGAGTATGGGACCAATAATAATGCCAATGTTGAAAGTCATTGGGAGTAGCAGAAAGGCCCTGGACTGGTATCTGTCGCATTGATTAATATGGTGGAACCCAACGGGAAATCGTTGGTGGACAGGAGGACTGAAGTCCTTGACTACCTAAAGAGGTCAACTTACTTCTTCTCCCTGACGATTTCACTAATCCTACAAGCAAGAGATGTCAGCACAGGATCCGCAGGCTTGCATGTAAGGAGGCATAATAGCTCATCCGGGCCAATCTTATTCTACTCACATGGTTCTGAGAACGCCTATGTTTCCGTTCGTGATTCCGCCTAATGACCGGAAGAGAAGGGCTTCCCAAAAAGATGTTGAGAAACCGAACCCGACGCAAGACAGCACTGTGCCGAATAAATTTAGCACAAGCAGGGAGACACGGACATAAGTGTTACTGGAGGATGGCAAGATCAGTTGAAGCAGAGATCAGAAACTTACTTGTACCCCCGAGTCCGATCAAAAGCACAGTTTTGCGGCCACACCGATGAGAGTCGGCAACTCGCCCCCACAGCATGGCAGTGAAGAATTGAGCAGCCGTAAAGCTGGCACTTGGAATCAGAGAATCAGCAACGGGAACCGCTTACATATCGCTACGGCATTCCGGAGCATATTTGCTGATATCGGTGGATGGGAGAGTGACCCACTGAAGGATTCCAGCCTGGCTGGAAATGGTCGAGTCAGGAAGGTCGGCATTGAACCACTTCAGCTGGTAGAACATATAGGACTAGACATAGCCAACTATCAGCGCTGGAAGAATCGCAGCATAATGAAATTCGGAGAGCCTACCTGGAGAGAGGTCTGGACAAGCGGTTCACTCAACCTCGCGAGAGTGATGACAATAAGCTGGTCCTTCCGGGGCAGGTCCCCCCATGAGACAGCCTTCGCGCCGGTGACATGTCGCTGAGGTGCAGACTCGATGGTTCTCTCGGTTGCCGAGCCCGTAGCCACGCCGGACATTGTGACGGGAGCGCCTCCGGACCCATGCCCATGATTCAGTAATGATTCACGATGGTCAAGATTGGTGATCAAAGACAGCCTCCCCGTTCCGGCCTCTGCCTCCGCCGCGTTAACACCCGCACCCGCATCCGCAAGACAGGAACCAAAGTCAGGTGCGGCATCGTGGGGCCCAGGGACATCCGGATATGGAGAACCAGAGCGGTTGACTCCACCTGGCTCCCCAGCTTCGGGCCCATAAACCATCTGGACCGGGCGGGAAGATTACAGGAAGTAGCCGCTGTGGAGAGTGCACGAGTCGGGTCCCGTCAGATCAGCTGGGTACTGTACGGCGTAGGAAGAGAGTCAGGGACCTGCCGCGGGATCACAGATCGGGGTCCCAGAGTCGGGGTAGTATCGTCGAGACTGACTTGTTGTCGGTTAACGGCCAACCCACGTCCAATCCAAGGTGCTGGGTAAGGTAGCCGTGAAAGTTGAGCGGGAACAGGGTGGAAGCTTCGGGGGTCCGCTTCACACTTGGACGGTCAACCAGGGAGATTGAACATGCAAAGAATAGCGAGACCAGTGGGCAGCCGATACGGACTGTGTAGATGGATAAACACAATGGGACAGAAAACGCACAACAGACGCCACCTATTTCCAGAGCTACGTGCCGCCAACGGATTCTCCTCACCAACTACAAATACAGTAGCATCCTGGCACCGCGTAACGCCACTGGCAGTCACGGATAAGATATACACAAGGCGCTATCAACATGGACGTACGGTAGGAAAACTCTTTAGGGGCGGTGGTCCTCCCAAACAACGACAAGACAGCCATGCGGGCCATGGCAAAAACACCATACTGACGAGGCCGTAGGAAGTGACTGACTGTTCGGTTGCGTCACCGGATGATCTCTCATCCCCCCGCTTCCCCCACAGCATCGGTGCCGCAACGGCTTCCTTCTACCTGCTTCGGGCTAGTCACTGTCCCACCCCCAACTAACCCTCTGAGCCTCCTCATTCGCGGATCAGCTCCAGCCCTCGGCGGGAAGATGCGATGTTGACAGACCCAGGCGGGAATAAAGATTCGGCCGGATTGTTTGGGGCCTCACAAGTAGCCGATGATCCGGTAGGGGCCATGGCCGGGCGGCGCACGGGAGCTGGAATCGCATTGTGCTGGGACTCCTGGCCAGGACGCGTCTCTTTCAGCACAGGCAGGAGCAAGAAGAGGAAGATTCCTGATCAAAGGCGAAAGAGAGAAATGGTGAAACAAAAGCACGGGGATTGTCCGTCATAGCCCAAGTGGCGGCGGCGGCGTCTTGTTGGGTTGAGGACGTGGACTGAAACGGCGCTGTCATGCTACCTAGGTTTACATAGCTACTGCGCAGACTGTAGAGGTACCTAGGCAGAGTGCTAGTGGAGACATCGAGCACATGTACATAGGTACGTGGATAGCTAGACACGCACGTGGTAGGCTTGTTAGCATACCTACCTGCTGGTCTCCCACGTAACCGGTTGTTAGTGCATATGTTCTTGAGGTGTTTGTTGTTGTTTGGGGAATTGTAGCAGTGTTAGTTAATAGCTAAAACCTTTGGAAGAGAAATAATACGTACCGTGTGTATCAAAGCGCGAGGGGGGTTTAACCCACCACTTACTCCCTAACCAAGGCCCAGCGCAAATCTCCGCGTTTTGCGCGTCTCCGAAATCTGTCCGGGTTTGAGCCGCATCAGATAAGCGGGGTCCCTCCAACTGTGTGCACTTTCCCGTCGCTCCCTTCCCTCGCCTGTACACTGCCTGCGCTGCTTTTCCCAGTACTCCACCACCGCATCTATAAGAGCACCAAGAAAGTTTATCGAGAAAGCCACACGATATTGATAGATAGGTAGGTAGGTAGATGTCTACTGCGTACCCGGTACACCGCATACCACATGGGCTATCTATGTGTGCACCGGACGTACATGCGAACCTCAGTTTGATCGGCATGTAGATCTCAAGGGTCAGCTCCGGTCTCTGGCGAGATTCAAGGTGGTAGTCTCGGTAGTGAAGAGATGGACTGCGGAAAAGGACGTGAGAATCAAGAGAAGCTCAAAGATAGGCAGCATAGCAATTGGGCACGTTGTCTGGGACTAAAGACGGCCGCTAACGCCCACAGTGTAGTGTAGTGTACAGAGGCGGTACGCCTAAGGACAAGGATGAGGGAGGCTCGAGGGAGGTGAGGGAGGGTCTCGGAAAGATGGAGCCCGACAGATAACCCACACAGTGCCTGCCTTAGTGAGATCGCTGCCAGCGATATTTGGTGGATCTCCGCCATTCTCGAGCAGAAACTGCATCTGAGATGGGGGGTCCTTACCATGCACCATGCGCCAATGCAGATGGGCTTGCCATGAAGGAACAACCCGGGGCCTGTTTCTTCCCAAGGGGACCAGGAGACCAAGACAAGAAAAAAATCAGTCTCCCGATGGTCGTCTCGCGCTGCGGTCTAATCGCGAGCACTAGGTAGCTGTGCGCACACACCTCCACTGGCATCCCTCCCTGCCAGCCTGCCTCCATCTCTCCTCCCTCCTCCGCCCTGCGTCCACATCCAACGTCCACGTTCACGTCCACCGCCCACCACCATCTACCTACCTATCAGTCGGTCTGCCTTTTATCATGTAAATGTACCCCTGCATCTGCCGGCCCTCTCCTGAACCTTGCTGCCTTCGACACCATACGAACCGCCACACCTAGGAGGAGGCCGCCTCCCCATGTGCCCTCTCCGTCCCCGTCTCCGTCTCATCCCCGTCCTCCCCGTACTCCCCGTACTCCCCGTCCCACCGGCCCCCCGTCCTCCCCGTTCTCGGTGCGTGAGAGGTCGGGGTAGACGCGGAGAAACCGGGATGGGGGATGTGGGCATAGAGCATGAGCAGCTATGTATCCACTACGGTGCACATATGAGTGTGCATCAAAATCTCATATTCCGCAGCCTCAACATATCTCTAGCCATTCGTCCGGTTAATGCTTTGCCTGACATTACCAAGAAAAGAGAGAGAGAGAGAGAAAAAATTGTTCTTCGTTATTGTGGGGGTGTGGACAGGCACTAGTTTTCTTGTGCTTTGTGCTGATCAAAGCATGTCAACCTTTTAAGGTAGGCAGTCGTCAAGTTAGTTGTCGAAAAGGTTGTGCACTCTCCCACGCGTAGGTAGTTAAGTACCCCAAGTCCTTTTGGCCCCCGCTGTTTCTGAGACGAACTTGTTTGAAATTGGCTCGTCTGACGCTATTCACGAGCATAAACCTGGAACTCTGCGTGGTAATAGGTGGTGGTGTTCAGCGTTGTGGGCTTGATCTCACGGAATGGTGTAGAGAGAGCGCTTAGGCGTGTAGTCTATTCGTCTCTCCATCCTCGCTTTGATATCCTCCTGGCAGGTACAAGCCCGTTAGTGAGGCTCTGGGACGCAACAAGGGCTACAGTAGTTGAGCAAAAGCAAAAGCATGCATCACGGCCTTCCAGGGATTCCCCACAAGCCTGGCCAATTGCTGGTTGCATGGGCAGCGTCAAGCGCCACAGTACCGGCAACCTCTCTGGTGCATTGGCCAGTCACAGCGCGCCAATTTGCCATCTGATACATATGCAAAATGGCGCGTGCGTTCCTTGGGTTCTCGAAGTCTCGAACTCGCCCCGTCGAAACCTTTGGACTAACTCCATTTCAAAGGTCTACACTACACTACAAGCCATAAGGCGCCTACGCATCACCCGTCTGGCCTTTCCTCTTGGGTACTAGTTGCCTCCAGCAGGGCTGGATGGTCTCGAGTCCTCGACTCAGACTGAGCACATAGACTACAAAGCCCGAGCGAGCACTGATCTTTCTTGTGGAAGTGTAGTGTCCCTGGACTGGCCTCTAGCTATGGATCTGTGCGTGGCTACAAGTTGGAATCGTCCTGCAGTTGGTGCTTTTCTCAACAACAAACCCCAACCAACCAAACATCACCAGACTCACCATATGTTTGGTATCCTCTTGGCTCAGACACACCTCGGCGAGGTGAGCTAGAGCCTGTCGCGCTCGGCACTACCCACAGCATCTCATGCCCGAGTGGGCAACAGCCCGGTAAACTCCGAGCCCGAAGTGCCTTTCGGCATCTGTTTGGATTTTGGCTACGGTACACTGCTTCAGCCAGCCTACTACGTACGCTCTACTGTGCTGCAGTTCTTGACTATGTATTCGCACTCCATGCCACTCTCTGCCAACATGGACGTCCCTTTTTTGAGCCTCCCCAGTTCTCTGGGGCCCCGAACTCCGCTGGCCTTGGTGCCGAATGGGGACGCAGAGAAAGGAGAAAACCACTCACCACGATCCACTGCATCTTGTGGATATCTGAAAGAGGTCCCTCCGTCGAAGAGCAAAGTTCCGCTATTGTTTCCATTTGCCCTTTTTTTTTTACTCTTCGCCTTTTCTGTGCGCATTCCGTGCTGGAACTCATTGGCCAATTGCGTGCAGCAGTCCTTGAAGCGTTTGTGAATCTCGCCCTTGTACAGTACACTATTGCTGCTTTCCAAAACCGAGCACCGAACGTTGAACTAGGCATCCTTGCTTTACTCCCCACTCGCCGTACCTTGGTGCCCCCGTACCTCGCTGTAGTCTCACTGCCTGAAATCTACTTCGGGGTGTGCCAGGTACTTATGTATTCAGAGAAAGGGGAGCCTAACACATGACGTATCCGACGACGCCGGCCAGTGCGGCCAGTGCGGCCAGTGCGGTCAGAGACTGTTGGAGCTCCAGAGCCAATCCACGTCTCCGCCTACACCGAAACCACAATGGTAGGGCTTCCAAGTGACATGGTGCTTCTATGATTGCGTAGTGATGTGCTCCGGACCTCAAGTTTCCCATTCCGTAACCACGAAACAATGTTGCCTTTTCCTCAACTATTGCCGCTTCGAAAAGAGGGACATCTCTTCGACAGTGACACTCTATTAGCTTCGTGCTCCTTCAAGTAGCATGAATATACCATATACTAGTATGCACACAAATAGAAACCGCCCTTTTTCTACACTACACAGAGTCTAATCATGAATAACACCAAGACGCCGAGAGAGAAAAAAAACCGATATTCCGACCGAAAACTCCATCCAAAGGGTATACATACCCCACCAGCCGATCATGCCATTGCCGTCCCTCTATAGTTCGCTTTATATGTCCGCCCACCAAAAGAAAAAGACAGAAAAAAAAGACCAAATGCGCCAAGTGATGCGTCTTCGTGAACCGTTACTCCCGCCAGCCGGTCTAAAGGTGGAAGGCGTACTTGCCACCCCCTCATAATTTTGACCCATTCCATCTGCCTCCTCTTTGAGCAATTGAAACAGGCAGGGATACAAACCGAATAACCCGTAGAAAGATAGCACCAAGTAGGGCAACTCCCTGTACCATCCGCAGAATTACATCATCTTTTCTCCGCGCTCGTTTGTTGAAAGGGAGAAGGATGAGAAGCAAGTTGAAATGCTCCCGAGTTATGAAAAAAAAAAAAAAAAAAAAAAGAAAAAAAAAAAAAAAAAAAAAAGCGCTTGCTGTGTGGCCGACATGTGGCGCGGATTGCGTAGAGCAATAAGCGTCATGGGCCTTTATTTGACGTTGATGGTCGTCGTCTGTATCTGTATTCGTAGTCCAAGAAGTTGGTGTTGTTGTAGCTGTTGCAACGTGGTTCCCCGTCCGCAACATCGTGATCGTCCGCGACAGGCTGATTACCCTCAGAAACGGACATTGGTGCCGATATGGCATCAAACCGTAGGCGACTGAGGTGGATAGTAGGTTGGTGTCGGGTACATAGACCAGGACTGCTGGGGGAGATACGAGGGTTGTGACTGTGGAACGCTGGTCGGACAGTATCCGCGGTCTAAGCCGTGTTAGTAAACATGCGTATATACATACAAGACACCGACCAGAAAACCAAAAGGGATACTCACCAGATTCCATGTCCTCGTAGTTAACCTTCATGCCGTCCAGGCAAGAGATTCCCGTAGCTTGGCCCATCACAGAAGAGTCCATCAAGGATGAAGGGACGCTTGTGGGGACGTGGCTAGCCACGTACTCGTCAGGATGCCCCGTGGATGAAGACGGACTTGAGACCACTGAAGGAACCGTTACTGAGGATACGGGGACCACCGGGGGCCATGATTCACAAGGTTCAGGAGTAGGCAGGTAAGATGACCCAAAGCTTGCTGGGGCACCATAGTCCGTAGAGCCTTGGGGGAAGGATGCCCCGCGGCCCGTTGATGGCGAAGTTTGCAGTCCATCTACCTCGTAGCCTAGTCAAACTGGGTTAGCATTTGGGACGAGATGGAAACCATGAGATTGACCGCATCATTCGAGAAAGGAGAGAAGAGCCGGCTTACCAGATTGTGGGAACGGGCGGTTCCCGATGCCAAGGGCTTCCCTTAATGTTCGCACTTCGTGCTCCAATGCCTTGTTCTTCTGCAGCAGTTCACGAACCATTCCATCGCGGTTCTCCCTTCCCCTCGACTCTTCTAACTCGCGCTGTAGCCTTTCAATGAGCTCCTTGGTGCGAGCTCTTATTGCGCGTTGTGCTTCCCGATCATTTGCTCGCTTTCTAGCTAGCTGTGAAGGAGTGAGGGTAGAGACGCTTCTCGTGCCTGTGTCCGCAAACAAGGATAAGTGTCAGAAAGTTTTACGTTGAACTTCAAAAGGGCAGGATGCACTCCAACACTCACCTTTCCTCTTCACCGTAGCCGGCTTATTTTCCCCGGTGGTGGCAGCAGAAGGAGACCGAGCCATCTTTGAGTTGCTGGTTGTTGTGTCGAAATTCGTGACTGTACTATGACGTTTGTGTGTGTGTGTGTGTCTATGTCGATGTTGTCTCGAAGGCTGAAATGATTGTGGCTTGAAGTTTTGCCTGGCTCTAGGCGAGAGTGATGAAAGGAAATAGATACGATTTGTTGCTGTATAGAGCTAGAACAAGTGGACGGATGGGACCAAGGGAAGTTTCTCGCGGGATGTCCACTTATAACAATACAGCGTTGAAGCGTAGTCCAGGCTGTGATCAGAGATGGGCTCCGCCAGCGAGACAAGGGTAAAAAGGAAGGAACCCCTGGTCTTGCTGGGTCTGCATGTACACACTTCCGCTCTTGAAAGGTGCCCTTCCAAAGGTGGGGAAGGTGGTCAAGGTGTCTTGAAAGATCCGGATCATGGGATACCAAGATGGACTAGAAGCCCCAGTCTGTGCGCTACATGCCTTAGGCCTTTGCTCCCACCCTCCCCTTCCAGTCGGTTTCGGAGAACTGGGGACTCGACATTGGGATCCGGGACACGGACGAGCTGACAGGGGCGAGGCGGACGGTGCTCTAGGCCGGTCATTCCTCCGCCAGTCCGGCCTCTCTCGGACCAGAATGGCCGAGAAGGGCTCCTTTCCCGGGCTCGAGCGGCCTCTACCCAGAGACAGGTACGCAGCACGGAGGGTGTGTGACCCCGACTGCCTTTCCAACTCCATCGTCTCTTATATAAGACCCTCACATACTCCATACAACGACTGCCCTTTGCAAACGCAATTGATACCTATGAGGCTCTGGCACTAGCCCTTGTTTGGTTAGAGACCACGGCACATCCCCTGCAACGAGTGCCGACCGGTACGCCATTGATTTGCGTCCAGCAGTCCAGGATAGCGAGGGTTAGAACTTGGTGTACTTCCCCCCCCTCCTTCAATCTGTGATGGTTGGTTTGCCGTAATGGTGGGCGGCTTATTACCAAGGGGGCGCAATGTGGGACGAATGGAAGAACGAGGATTTCAGATATCAGGAATATCACCTACAGCGAGCAGCATGCAAAGTTTACCTTTGCCAAGTCCTTGTGGCCTTCGAGTTACGAGGATACGTACCTCTTCGATGGACGGGTCCACTTGAGGCCCAAATTTTAGACTTTTGCGCTATGCTGGAGCGCAGTGTTGGGTCAAGAGCCTTGCGTAGCACACCCCAGTACCGGCCTAGCGTCTAGTGACAACGGCTTGAAAATCCCAGTTGGTGCTTTGCGCGTAGCTCGGAATATCCTCAAAAAATCTGTACCGCGTGCACTACGCAAACTTAATGCTGGCAAGCTTGACGGTCTGATAATACGGCTACGTCGGCGAGGCAGTCTCCAAGCGGTCGCAAGGTACAGCGCGAGAAAGAACGGCAAGCGATCTAATGCTACCTCGAACCAACTTTGCAAAGACAACAAAAAAAAGAAAGACCATAGGAGCGGTGACACGAATTCAAACACTTGGGTGTCGTTGTACCTCCCAGCTTGCGCCATCTGGATGATAGACGTACTACATTCCAGAACATAGGATGGTTGTGGAATATCTGCCACCGTCACTTTCGAACGCACGCTTGGCACGCTACAACGTCTGCAGCTAGGACGATGGGTGGAGGCTTGAAACACAGTGCCTTGAAAGCGTTCTCCACTTGAGAAGTCGCTCAAACCTTGCGTCCCTTTATACGTTAGTGCGTTGAAGGACCAGACTAGCATGGACCACCTAAAGACCGAAGCCCGAGCCGATATCTCCTCAAAGCGGCGAATTCGGGCAAGGAGTGGAAAGGGGGCCACGCAACCTCACGTCCTGTCCGTCATCCGATGGGATGCGTTTCGAGACTTGGGAGCCACTAGCTGAGGCAGTTGAGCATATCTGTCGGAGGCGAGTGGGCGTAGGACAGCCGATATGGCTTCGGAAAACAACATGGTAGCGTGTTGAGAAGAGTTTGCGCGCGATGAGCGTGGCTGAGACCTACTAACCTACGTAGCAAATGCGCCCAGTTGCAAGCACAGAAGAAACAGGCACCGATTAGGCGGACCCGGATCAACCCCACACACTGCTACACTTGTATATCAATGATCTGCCAGACGCGGTTAGGACCATGCGAAGATCACCGGTAGTGGAAGACAGGTGTGAATGGCATCTGGGGTCCCCGCGCGCATCAAGCATACCTTCTGAAACCATTCCTTGACCTGAATTCCCCACCAGCATGGAGATCACGGTGGAAAAAGATGATTGTGAGAATCTGCAACAGGTCGTCTTCAGTGCTCGTGTAACTTGTTGGTCCTTACCCAAAGTTCCAGACGAGGCATAACCTCGCAGTGAGTTGGCGAACCACTCTCCCAAGCCACGACTTGGCAGTCTTCCTGAACGTTTTCTTCAAGCGCGCACCCAAAGGTAACTGTCCCGGAGGATGAGTCATGGGCACAGTGCCCAGGGTATCAATATCCTCCGCGGGTTTTCCTCATGTTGAGCTTGCCTCGACAGCGCTTACAGCGCTTACAAGATCCTCCATTCCGCCTACCTGTGTCGGTCCAGACATGCCACTCGGAGGTAATGCCCAGGCGGGTAAGGGGCTCTTGTAGCTCCATGCTCCATCAGCACCCTCGTATCTGAGACTGTGAAGCCAGAGCGAAAGCTCCTGCTTGCCAGGGTCCGTATAGAGTGGTGTCTGGCAGACTTCACAGAGTTGACCCGACATCTTTTCGGCCTTCTTCTTATGGTAGGTGTCCACCATCTCGTCATAATAGGCAACCGCATCAGCGACATCTTCCTTGCCCATCCGAGAGAGACGGGAAATGATATCCTCGTCAGTGTTCCGAGCCGCGTCGGCATCGTCTCGGCCGAGATCAAACCCCCAGACCTTTTGATTGGCATAGATTGGGTCGTTTTGGATGGGGTGACCCAAGAATTGGAGATGGACCCGGATCTGATGAGTCCTTCCGGTAACGGGAAGGCATCGGACAATGGAATATCCTTCGCCTTCACCTCTCCTCTGTGCCGTTTGCTCCGCGTCCGGCGTAGCTGGTTGTTCGGTCTGGTCCTTGCCGGCGGCGTCAGGGGGTGGATAATAGGCCAGGCGCTTGAAAACGGTTCGAGCCGATTTGCCGTTGGCACGCACACGATTAAGGGTTAGTTTGGGGGAAATCTGAAGGATGGGTTGATCGCAAACCACTTCGCCATCGGGGAACCTGCCAACAACCCTGGCGATGTACTCCTTGCGGACACTGCGCTGAGAGATCTGGGCGACGAGACGTTCGGCCGCACGCTGATTTTTGGCAAGAAACATAATGCCGCTGGTGAGCCGGTCGAGCCTGTTGCAGGGGCGGGGTAGGAAATCGGGCCCCCTTTGGGACTTGATAATCTCAACGACGGAATTGTAGTTGTAGCGGCCAGCGGGGTGGACGGGGACACCGGACGGCTTGTTGATGACAATCAGGTCATCATCTTCGTGAATGACGCCAATGGGCTCGGCTGTGGTGGGAGGCTCGTGACGGTGCGTGGTATGGGAGATGAGGTCGCCATTCTTGAGGACATAGTCGGGACCGACAGCCTTGCCATTGACGACAACCAGGCCGGTGTTGACGGCGGTACGGTAATACTCGGCAGGCCGGTCCCGGAACTCGACCTCGAAGATTTCCATCAGCTTGCGACCACGCCAACGCTCCTTGCACCACGTGTTGTAGGTGTAGTGGTACGGCACGACGCGGCGAAGGCCATCTTCGATGTAGTAGGGCCGGGGCCAGGGATCACAGGGAGTGGTCGCGACAACCGGAGGTTCAGCGGCCGGAGATATGGTCGCGACATCCGTCTCTTCAATAGCCGGCGCGGGATCGGGGGTAAGGGCCGGTGTTCCCTTGTCCGTGATGAAGCTGGTCGCGACTGTTGCCACCATTGTCCGTCTCGTGCCTGGGAGCAACCGTGTCAGCGACGCTAGTGATGCGAATGGCGCGAGCAGTGCAGCAGCCGTGGAGCGACAGAAAGCCAGGTTGGGGATGGCTTGGTTGGTTGTCGTGAGACGAAACAGCTGAGTAGAGCGAGGATCGAGAGCCGGATCTCCAGTCGGAAACGAAACGTACAAGACGGGTGTGTTGTGTTCTAGGTGGTCTAAAGTCTCGCGAGCACATGGGACGGACAAGACAAATTTCAGACGATGGACGTGCTTGCCGTGTCAGATCGTATAGGTAATAGTGGACAGCCAGATCTGGGGCAACAGCGAGCCCAGGATTGTTAGTACCTATATGGAACGCACGCGCTTGACGCTAACAGTATCGGCTCTTCTCATGCGGGGCCTAAGGTGTCCCATCCTTAATGCCGTATTTACCCGCCATATGCCTTACTACATACGTACAGGGCAGCGGTTTAGCGCCATCATTACCGGTACGCTACAGAGTGTTTTCATTACGTACGGAACGTAATGGTACAGGTCTATTACTTACATTACGGGTATATACTGTATTAGGCATACACACCTTCTGTCTCACCTAGCAACGCCTGCCCGGTTGTAGCCATCGTCGCGTTTCCAAATCCAGCATAGGTACGTACATCGGGATCTACAGCCGAGAGTGAGTTATGTAGGAGCCTCGGTAACATGGTTTGGGGTAATGAAGCTACCTGCCTCAGTCCTCACTTGAGTTTCTCAAACCACCACTGCACTTCATACTGGTATCGACTTCACTCGTCAACGCCATCCCTTACTCACATCCGGTCCATTCGAAGTACACTGCCAGCATCCGCGCAAGCTACATTTATGCCATGGGCGCTTATAACCAGTTGAAAACCCGTACAAGGGCTGATTATCCCTACGTTCTCGAGTATCGCACGCGATGGCAAGTTGCTACTCTCTTATGAAAAGTCTCGATCCAGTGCTAACACATTGGCACAGGAGTGACAACGACATGTACCAACATATGAACAATGCCATCTACAATTTCCTTTACGATTCCGTCATCAACAGCTATCTCTTCGAATTCTGTGGTCTCAAGCCCGATTCGTCCCCCCAATATGGCATGGTGGTCCATAGTCACAACGATTACTTCGCCTCCATCTCGTTCCCCGCCACCGCTGAGCTTGGCCTGCGCGTCAACAAGATGGGCAACTCCAGTGTCACATATGAGATTGCCCTCTTTGAGAAGGGCGTCGAACAGGTCAAGTCAGTCGGAGAGTTCATTCAGGTCTGGGTCGACCGAGACACGGGCAGGCCGAGTGTGCATGGCATACGCCAGCATGTTCGCAATGGGCTCCAGCGCATCATGGTAGACACCCATTTAAGCAAACTTTAGCAGGTCAACTTGCTCCACGACATTTGCCACCTTGCCTGTTCCTCAGATACATCATCATGCTCACTGCTCCTTGTGCACATAGTGTCTTCAAATACGGGTATGTTATTCCGCAAGTCTACCCGGTTTAGTGTGAACCCTAGTTACGTGTTAGCTGTCTTTGACTTACACTTCGGTGTAAACTTGCAACCATTTGGTTGCTCGTGGTGGCCTCAAACGGCCTTGCTCGCGGTCCGTAGCTCGATTGGCAGGGCCGTTCTTGCCTCGAGACACGCAATCGTCTCATTTGGCGTCTGCTTGAACATGAACTTAACTCCCATGTCTCGCTGACTGCTAGGATATACGGCACTTCCTGGAAGTATAGGTCTAGAATATGTCAAGGTCCTACGAGGTGACAAACCATCTAGTGACAAAATTTGCGGACACTAAGACGTTTCTCATAGATACAATTGGATTGGGGCTCCCGGAGCCCAAGGCCAGTACTAAACTATTCACCCCCCCCCCCCCCCCCCCCCCAAATGCGGCCCCCTCCTTCGAGTGTGTTAAAACCTTAACGGGGTAAATCTCTTGGCAGAGCAAACACCCGATCGTTGGCGATGGACTGAATACGGAGAGCTCAAGTTCTTGTTTAGGTGAGGCTTGAGGGTATCGGTAAACTTCTGGCGGGGTCATAAAGCGGAAGGTTCTGAGCCAGCGGCTGCTCAAAGTGGTCTTGTCGTGAAAGAGCGAAGGCCATGTTCAAAGTGGCTTATTATACGAGGTCGGCGAGGCTCGAGGGAGAGATGAAGTTTCTAGTAATTTTGTACGTACGGATCACGGAGCTGTCGAAGAGGGCGAGCTTGTGAAGCGCGTCGTTGGAAGGGTTTTTGTTCTTTATTGTTATTTTGTCATTAATAGTGACTCTGCCGTCTCACTGTGATGGTCGCGTCGTTTCTCGTCTGGACCATAGGCTTAACGCCGCGGTCAGAATCTACTTGAGAAAGACAATATTGTTGTCATTGGATCCCTATTTGCATAGGTAACATACTAGCCTACTACGACTCAACAATGGGGCTGTTGGTTTCGAAACTACTTGGGCCGGATGTGACGAACGGCAGTCTGATCTGCCTAAGTGGGATAGTTGAAGGTAAAGACTATCAGTGCTGTTCGGTGAAGCTAAAGAGTTCACAACAAGTATGTCTGCAATACTGGTCTCGGTGATAATGACCTATTGACTACTGTCGAACTATCTGACAATCTGAGTTCTCCCGTAGTCCCTTTATACCTGCTCGCCCTCTGCGAGATATCTGTCTCCGGATGCTCTTGTCGAGCCCCATAGGTCTATCTAATGCGTGGTGGCTCACGATGCCCTCCTGGCTCACGATGCCCTCCTGGCTCACGATGCCCTCCTGGCTCACGGGTGAGCCCCTCGTACTGATGAGCCCGTGCGTGCGCCTTCCTGATCCGTTGGTCCTGTAGGGTAACACGGCCTTGCCCGTTTGGGTCTGTTGTGCTACCAGTGCTGTGGTTGGCCCGTGTGTCCTCATAAGTTCGTAACACCGGAGCGCGTTGCGGGCTAGAGGTCGTCGGTTATCATTTCATTGCTCGTCCGGGCTACTACGACTCAACTAAACTGCACTTGAGGATTATAGTAGTCTTGCATCTATTACCGTATTAACGTCCGCTCCTCGATTTCACCTACATAGTAGGACGGCTAAAATGATATTTTAGCTCAAAGGTACTGGTGATTCCTATGAGGATTTTATTCACGAGCTGTGATGGCAGCCTTGCAGTTGTGCCTCTCGACTGCCATCACAACTATATAAGACCACTTGAGCGACCGAATTGCCAGCTTCGGTTACTTGTATCCTTTTGGAACATAGTCTAGTGATGTAGTGGTCCGCCAGCGCCGTGACACGAGCTCCCGGTCTCTCTTACACGGCATTCTAAGAATTATATAAGTGCCTAAAGGATTGGGATTTAACGTGCGTTAATAGTTTCTCGCCGGTCTATTTTAACGTATAGCTAGTTGTCTGGGCTCAAAGCGCCTCTCAGAGCAATGGCGCAGCTATTGGTGTGGCGGTTTATTCGCAAAATACAATTAATTCGCAAAACTTCAAAGGTTAGGGTTAGATAAGAGAAAGGGGGTTTATATTATATTATATCGATAGTTGGAGAAAGAATCGGGAAAGAATAGAAACTGTCACACAGTTAGCTTGTATTGTATTCACGTAACAGCATACAGCTTTTAAAACTCTATCGCTATCATAGCCGCGACCGTAGCAGTGGTTAACCCGCTGGCGTAGTCACGGCTGGGATTGACCAATGGTAGTCCGAATGCTATAGATCCACTCGTAGGTAGATCTGATACCTAAACCTATGTAAAGTCATCCTTATGAATATTGGTCGTACTCCCTTCCTGTCTTCCTTCCTACGCTTATATATAATTATATTTACTATTTACCCTTTGCTCGTAATAGTCTAACTCTCCCCCGAAAATATTTTTCTTGGCGCCCTCTGTTAGTCGGTTGTTAGAAGCTAGGCCAAAATGACCCTGTTTTTGGTGCAATGGGTGCCTTGGAGCTACCAGTGGCCCAACCCACCACTTTTTCATCGTTTTGAATTTGGGAAGATACAATTCGAACGACAGCCACAGCAGCTACGACGGCGGCCTTTGGAAAGTTCGCCGCCGTCTCGTCCCT